TCAAAAATTTTATATGTCACAATTTTTTCATCGATTACAAATCAAAAATTTATAGGTCACAATTCACAAATTGTAAGTCGTAACTCAAAATTTTAAGTCACGTGATTTATTGGTCACAATTTATAAATTACATGTTATTTATTGATCACAATATCAAATAATTGGTCACACACTCTTACTTCCACCATCTACTCCACCCAACCAGCAAAATAGTACGAATCGTACTGCTATGAATGCAAAAATTGTGAATGCAAGAAAAGCCTAATGCAACCCCGAATTTTTTATCATGTATCCAAATTCAGCCCCTCTTCATAAATTTCTCCAAAAATAGATGACGAGACATATGCATACATGATATAATGTGCTCCCAATAAGAATCTAAGGGATTAAAATTAGGAGAAGGCCTGATTTTTTCTTGAAAACCATCATGTTGTCATTCGTAGAGATAAAACCACCAAAAAAACCACCACCATCGCCACCAACAAGATCCAACAAACCCGCCACCTACAAAACCATTGCCACTACCAGATCCAACAAAACCACCATCACGGAAACACCACCAACAAATCGGATCCACAACCGCCATCACTAGAACCAAAACGTTGCTGGTTGTGTGCGATAGCATCAACGGCATCGTGCACAACGCTCACCTCCGAAGTAACATAAAAAGAGGGATTAGCATTATTGGCCCAATGATAAACCACTAAGACCTTCGTTGGGCTCTGAACATTGAGAAAACTCTCTAGCAATGACTTGTACAATCTGTTAAAAGGCCCTAGCCAAGTGGAAAAACAACTTAATCGGCATATGGTAGACAAAAGACCATAGTACAATACCCTTGAAATACCACCTAGAGAAAGCACGATGTTTGAATTATGCATCCACAATTTCTCCAAACTTAGCAGTAGAAGGGACAACCATAAACAAACACAACCAACACATTTGACTACCCTAATGCCCTCAAGGCCAAATGTGCTTCTAAATCACAAATAAGATCCCTGCATCATAAATAAAAACTCAAACATTCGTCATCATCATAAAGTCACATACCATAAGTTTAGGTAAGGGCAACCATAAAAACCCACATACTCGAGAGATATTGTTGAAAAACTTGATATTGCATAGGGAAGATATGTATGAGATATTACACCGATA